ATTTTTAAGTAAATATATTATTTCTTCTATAAAGTAATTGGGTTAAATTATAGAATTAAGAACCTGTTTCTATAATAGCCTTTCTATTTCTATTATCTTATTAATATTATTATAATATTAGTTATTATCTTATTACTTTTATTACTATACCCGAACTATTATATTATTAGTTATACTATAATACTAGAGTTATTATTTTATTAATTCTATTATCTTATTAAAGCTATTATCTTATTAGTTCTATTATTATATTAGAACTATTTTTTTTTTACTATTTATATTATAGTTAGCTTTTATTATAAAAGAGGCTAGTATAAAAACATATTAGAAAATAGAGGCTCTGAGACTTTACTAGATTATATTAACTATTATAGTTTTATTTTCTATATAAGGCAATGAATTATTTATCTATTAGTAAAATAATTTGCTTATTTAATTAAAATAAAGCAAGTTATATATATATTTATAGACTTTCTTTTTATTTATAATTAAATATAGATTTTACTTAGTATTATAGTATTTATATAATAGGTTCTTCTTATATAGTCTATAAGATCTCTAAATATAGCTATATTTATAATATATAGAACCTAAATTATTTCCTTTTAAAATAAAAGTTAGAAAGCCAGATTTGAACCTATAATTCTAAGAATAAATATAGTAAGGTCTAGTCTTTTATAAGGCTACTTTACTCGGTTTTATTCTTTATAATATACTATAGGGTTCTTTATTTCTGGAAATAATAAATAATTATATAAATCTTAGATAATATAAGTAGCTAAATAATAAGATAATATAAATAAATAATATAGTATAAATCTAATTATAACCTTACTTATTTCCCTTAACTTGCTTGCCTATTTCTAATTTCTTCCGAAATATAGACTTATTCTATTCTAGTTATATCTATAGTATAAATCCAATTACTATAAAGACTTATATAAAGGCTTTATCTAATATAATAACTTAAGAGCTATCTTATAAAAGTGTTTTTCTAAGAGCCCTATCTTCTTTAAAATTCTATTCTAGCCGCTATAATAACCTCGAAGCTATAATTTTCCAGAAATATTCTCCTTACTATTATATTAATATAGGAGCCTTCTATTAGGAGTTGTCTCAAGGAAATATTCTCTTAAGACTACTCTTCTAGAAACTTTCTCCTTATTATTTTATTCTCTTAGGAGTATTCTTCTGGATACTATAATAACCAAAAAGCGTTTTACTAGAAGCCTTGCTTCCTATTAAGGATATTTTTAGTATTAATAATTTAACTAAAAAAGTCAGAATATTATTAGCTTTACTCTACTAAGAATATTTTTAGTATTAATAATCTGACCAAAAAGGCCAGAATATTATTGGCTCCACTCTATTAAGGATATTTTTAGCATTAATAATCTGACCAAAAAAGTCAGAACATCTAGTTCCATTCTTGGGGCACCAGCGCCTAGAATTCCAGGCGTTAGCGCAACCGATATGCCAGCGTAATAGACCCTAATTTTGCTCCCGCTATCATCTTTCAAGCGCCATCGCAACAGATGCGCCAGCGTAAGGGAGCCCATTTCACTCATTCCCAGCGCTGTCTTCCGTCAAGCGCCGTCGCAATGGGTGCGCCAGCGTAAGGGAGCCCAATTTTGCTCCATTCCCAACGCTGGCGCTCGTCAAGCGCCAACGCAACAGATGCGTCAGCGTAAGGAAGCCTTAGCGAGCCCAATTTTGCTCCCAACTCCAGTATTCCTCATGCGCCAAGCACAACAGGAAGTCCAAGCTTTAGACGATTTCATTTGGGTGTAAACAATGCGAGATTCATTCCCTTCCTATTGCAGTTTGATTGGAATAGGTGGCAAGGTGGCAAGCTAGTGTAAATTTACTATTAGTCACATAAATCTAATCTCGAACAAACCCGCAGTCACTCGCATTCCTTTTTACAATTTTAATAGTGAGACGATCAAGGCAGGTTACTACTAGGTTTCGAGCAGACAAATGTATTTATAGAGGGGTCTGGTTCGAACCCTCGGAGTAGAGAGCACATCTTTTGTAGTACTACAACGTGGAGTACTGCAAGGTAACGTATGCCTTATTACATTCGAGATAGATGTTATTTATAGAGGGCCCGGTTTTGACACCTTGAAGTCTGTTTGGAGTACTATAATATGGAGTACTGCAAGGTGACGTATGCTTTATGTTCGTACTCGAGACTAGAATACTCTAAGTTGTAGTACTACAATTTACAGTACTCCTGTTTGAAGTACTACAATGTGGAGTACTATAGGGTGACGTATGCCTTATGTTCGTACTTCAGACCAGAGTATTCTGAGCTGTAGTACTACAATTCAAAGTACTCCTGTTTGGAATACTACAATATGGAGTACTGCAAGGTGACGTATGCTTTATGTTCGTACTTCAGACCAGAGTACTTTGAGCTGTAGTATTACAACCTGGAGTACTCCAGTTTGAAGTACGCATCGATTTGTCAATGCAGCAAGTGTCCACCCAGAAGTATTATAGGCCATCGCGAGCAGCCTGCTCTCCGCAGAAATAAAACTTTCTGTATCCGTCTTTCGTGAGATGACCCAATAATTCTAGGATCGAATAATAAATCACGTAATTCCCACGTGCCATAGCGCGTTACCAGTATTCTAGAGTGTGTTTCGTGACGCGTAATTGAAACGTGTGACTCACTATGATAGAATATTCTAGACCTTGTCTTGATCCTATTCAAGCTTTGATAAAGTAGGTTTTGAGATGTTCTACCCTTAAGCTTCGCCAAGAGTTCCCCTGCTAGCGTGCCCCGCCTCCACATGCTTGTCTGAGCAGCCGCTTTGTGAGGGGCAGCTGTTTTAGGCGGGTAGGGCTGGGTTTTCGCTGGTTCGTGCCACCAAGGATGCCTGTCACCTGATGTCATTGCCGATTTGGTTATCTGGTCTAGGCAAGGTTTTCATTTGGATCTGCTAAACCTGGCGTCAACTTCTCTTGCGTCCTTTTTAGGAAGATAAGTATGAGTCACCGACCTATCCCTTTTGGAAACCATCCAAAAGTGAGGCGATCGTTGACATAAACTTTGAAGCATTATCTGAATAGAGACCATCCAAATAAGATGATCTAGCCGGCCAATTCCAGGTGGTGTGTACACACCACCTGGTTTGTACACATCATTTAGTTTGCACGCACCATTCAGTTTGTACGCACCACCTGGTTTGTACGCACTACCTGGTTTGTACATATTACTTGGCTTGCACGCACCATTCAGTTTGTGTGAAGGTTTGAACCTGAAGTCACGTGTACGCTAATATATATGCTCGCTCAGGGGCCAGATCGCTGCTCCCTGAACGACCTCTTCGTCAATATATGCCACGTTTACTGTCAAACTCATGGAACCGTGACATACTACTTGGTTTGCACGCACTACCTGTTTTATCACCACGTTAAACAGAGCGAATTCTTCAACATAAAGAGTGCTAAGAATTTTAAGGGATAAGCTTACCAAGTACAAAGGCACAGCTCTCGTATCGATTGCACATTTAGACTGCCTATACCCGTATTTTAAGTATACGTATATAGATACAATCGAACAATTATGAAGTCGCAATTGCCTTTGTCCTTCAAGCCTTCAGGCAAAAATTAACACTTGAAAATCAGCCGTATACGACTACGGGGATATACTTTGCTCTTAGATAACATATGCGCTAGATCGAGCATCTTGTAATACGAATCTAAACGAGATGGCTAATTCTAGGAGCATTAAAATACTAAAAGATATCTCTCAAAAGGGCATTATACCTAGAAGATTCAGAATACTAGAAGAATATTTCGGGGAGAGGAGAGAGCATAGAAGAATTCTTCGAGAAGACAGGCATATTTAGAAGCAATATTCGAGAAGCGTATATTATATAGGAGAAATCTTTTAAAAGAAAACTTCCGAGGATAACTGATTCCTAGAAGATTTCTTCTAAAAGCTACGGTATCCCCGAAAGTAAGTTATAGGACACCGTAGCACCTCGGAGAAGTTCCTTAGCAGCATATATCTTCTGGAAAAGTATCGCTTCCACTCCCATAACTAATCGTAAACCCAGCCATTACCTGGTATCCGTAGTACAAACTTAAAGTTCACGTTTTCCAGCTTTCAGGTACGAGACTACAAGATGCATAAAGAGTAAAAGAAGTTTACAAGCAAAAGATCTTGAAAAGGAGATTATGCGATTACGTGGTATAATCTGTAATACATGGTCCCGTAACAAAAGGTGCCTCATTTTTCGTAGGTGCCTTTTTGAATAGGCACCTACCAAATACTAGGTGACTATCTTTCTCTAGCTGCCTTTTTGAATAGGCACCTACCAAATATTAGGTGACTCTCTTTCTCTAGGTGCCTTTTTAAAAACGTACCTACTAAATACTGGGTGCGTCTCTTTTCCAAGGCACCTTCTCAAAAAGGTAGCCATTAAACCCAAGGTGCCTATGATTAATAATCAGGTGGAAAAGATGCGATTATACGCGAGAAAAACTAAACAAATAAATATTATAAGCTATCCGTCTTAGTCAAAAAAATATCAGAATTTGAAATATCACGTGGTGAGCATCTTCACTTGGAAGCTAGGGTAGTTCAGGCCATTCACGGAAATGTACGCAGGTATCACACGAAAGTCTAGCTACGAGAAGACGTAGCTTGAATGAGGCGGAGAGCACGTCAATATTAAAACATTGAGTTGGCACAATCTTACTTAAGATATTCTCGGAGCGGATCTCGTTCCAAAAATAGCTTATAGCTGCAGATTTACATTTATTTTAAGGATGGGATTTTGGAACATTCTTAAAAAAGACTGCTACAATACGACTGTAAAGTACATGCTTATATTAGAACGATTCACCTTTAAATGTGACCGAAATCCCTTGGTTGGCCAAGGATTTTCTGCAGATGAGTCATCCCCAATCAGACGTAGTTGAACGCCGCCGTCGCCTCACAAACATCTGCATCCACCATCCTTCATGTTGTCGCAGGTCGGATGGCTCGATTGAACTTACCGTGCCATCGAAACGAGGTTCTTCTACCTCAACATGTAAATCAGGTCTGTATAGTTTCTTTTCTTCAGCTTCCTTTACTTACTCCTTTAGGCCGTTGATGTTTTTCTTCGATGGTTAGAACGTGAGCAGAGCACCATTTCTCAATACTTGGACCACTCTCCTTCTATTCGCGATTCATTCCTGGCAGCGGTGCAACAGGTCGCCGGCCACGGGCTCTTGCTGACGCCAGTCGGAACACCTGCGGAGGAGCTAGATGATGAGCCTGCAGAACCCGCTTCTGAGGAGATTGTTGGCGGGACAGGGACCGTGAATCACGATGGCGGAAACCAAAGAGGTGATAACAGAACTCTTGCCATCTCAGATGGACTTTATTCAGGTACCGCGGACCGTCCTATGGGTGTCAAAACACAGTGGCCGGAGCCGGGGCTGCACAACCCAAAATCGAATGATACGTCTTGTCGCCTGACTGTACCTGTTGGTCCTATGGTTGTGGATGGCACTGTCAGCCTTCCTGCTGCTAACAATGTAGACTACTGTTTGCAAAGGCCCCTGGATGAGAGTATGGAAGGGGGTAATGGAAAGGATCAGTCCCAAACACTGGCGGTCGGTAATAGGAATGTCTCGGCGCTGGACGTCATCCCTTCCGACCTCAGTGAGCGCAATACAGAGAACCCCTCACCTGCTCTACGCCAAATGACTAACTTCTCTACTTGTACAGAACCCTCTCATATCTCGATTCGCACCAAACCAGAACAGACGAAGCGAAAACGTACAGCATACTGTGGGATCGGCGGCTCAGCATATCTGCCACCAGCTGGTAAGATGGAGGCGCTGTCTAAGCTCTCTCTCAAGGCTTCGGACAAGTTCCAGAGGATCGCAGGCCCCGAAATCCTCGCCACTTTATGGTACTACTTGCGTGCACAGAGATGTTCTCCTTCGGAGCAACGACGAGCCATGCCCCAAACCGCAGATCCCTCAGATACAAGTATAACAGGGCAGCTACTGAAGTACCAACTTCAATATAAGAACATGGGAACCTCGAATGAATACTTTGTTGAACTTTCTCGACGCTTATACTTTGCAAGAATAGCTGGACTATATGCCAAAGAGACGTCGGCTCGCAAACAAGCCCCGCCTCGAAGGAAAAGACGGAGAACAAGTGGAGGTGATCGTGTTAGTGCTACCAATACATCTGTGAACGATACCTTTGTCGACTTCCTTCTTCCGCAACTGCAGTTGAAAGGCAACACACGTAAAAATGCTAAAAGAAGGTTTGAGAACTGGAGACAGATAGGACGGGCGTGTGCAAAACTAGTTGAATCTTATGATGTAGGCATTCTGCTTCTATTGCCTCAAGATTTGTGGGATGAAAAGTGAGTTGCTGTTCGATCTTTTTGTCCTTGGTTATTGGCTAACTTTGATCCTAGCCTGCGAGAACTAACAGCATCCCAAGAAGATGCATTAATAGCATATTTGGATTCTTCCAAACCATGTTTGAAGACCGATATTAAGAATCTCTCGTCCTTTCTCTCGGCCCTAATCGATGGTCAATCCTTGCCGAAGCGGACGCTAATGCTCGAAGTGTTAACTGAAGCTCAGATCAGATCTGGAGAGCTGGAAATTCGACCGTTAAGAGAGCTACTTGAGTACTCTGACGATGTCAATTACGCCTCCTATCTGACAGACGAAGCTCTTTCCGAGCTTTCTCAAACCGAGAGTGATGCTTCACCACACCCCCTTGTGGACCTTGAACATCAAGCCAGCAATTATGTGAATTTGCCTAATCTTACTGCTAGCAATCACCATGATCCAAGCAATATGTCATACACGGATTATCTTTCATCTCCGATAGATTGGAAAGAGATGGATCGGTTTGGAGAAGACTTTTTTTATTCTTAGTACTTAGAATAGCATTGAATTACATTCCTGATTTTCCAAGCACTGCCAGCGCTCCGCTCGGAAGGGCCATTCGAGCACATGCAAAACGCTTCTTTTGAATCTCTGCATATGCATGTGCATAATTTCTTTCAACCCCTCAACTTAGTGCTATCACCTTGTCCAATCATTTTTTATCGTGGCCACCAATCCACAAGCACCTACGCCCGACGTTGGTAGTACCTAGAATTCTCAATACCGCAATCAAGATGCCCTGATTCGCCTGTAGGTGAAGAGTATCTCACGAACTACAGAGAATTGTCGCCCTCTGGGCTACGCAGCGGCCACGTATGATAACTTGATGCTACGTTGTCAGGGGTATTGAGGCAGTCATCGCCCTGCTCCTGTGGTGGTAGAGATGGAGACATGTGGACTCCGACGCGATGCGCTGCGTTCAGTAACTTGATACTGAGCCACCCCTCCATAAGATGCCAAAGCATTTACAACATAGGCACTGCTCTTGCTAATGGAAGACGCTTTGGATCTCTATCAAGCTATATGATCAGTAAACCCATGCTCTATTATTCTTCCTGCGCAGATCTCCACTACAGTCATGGCAGAGACCACCATGAATCTAGCATCTCCAGTGCAGCTGGACATCATCGATCGGCTGCGCGCGCTTGGAATATCAAATTTCGTTGCGCTGCCCCAAGTAAGAGAACGCATCTAGCATTTATTAGAAGTGGTGGCTAACACCGGGATCGAAAAGCTTGCTGTCGTAGGGGATCAATCAAGGTATACTTGCTTTGGCCCAAGAGCTTTTGTGCTGATAGTTATAGTGGCAAGAGCTCCGTCCTCGAAAGCTTTTCTGAGCTCCCTTTCCCTCGAGACAGCGGCTTATGCACAAGATTCGCAACACAGATCATCTTCCGGCGTGCTTCGACGAGCAGCGTCAAGGTCTCCATCATCCCAGGACCAGCCCGCAGCCGCCAAGAGGTAGAGAGACTTCGAGGCTATGTGAAGGACGGGCTTGTGACGTTGGATAGTCATGAGTTTCTGGAGGTAATCAAGGAGGTTTGCTGCCTGGCATTAAATTTGAAGGTGGACCACCTGAGCTAATAGCCATCGCCGTAGGTCTGCCAGCTCATGAAACCCGATTCGGTTAGATCTAATCGGGTTCACAAGCCACACCTTATTTGAGCCGCAACTCAACCTCCTCTCCACAGCTCAGGGCTAATATACTCTCAACTTCCACAGGGCGCAGAGCTTCGCAAGATAAATGCATCGATAGAGCTCAATTAACTTCGTATTCTTCTCATTTCTTTTTAGCTTATTCTACCGGTAAAGCGTGGTGTTTTGGGCCAGAATGCAGTTCAACTCCATTTGGGCGGGGGTGCCACCATCCGAATCGGGCTAGACTTATTCCGCAATACGAGAGCTGGAAGAGTCTATTACCAAAGGTCTAATATGTACCTATAGGTAGACTTTTATTAAATGAGATTGCTACCAATATCTATCTAAAATATAAATCTGCGACGGCAATCGATAGATACTCGAGCTCCCGCTTAAATGCACGGCCGAATTGCATAGAAAATCGCGAAAACTTATACTTTTAATACCTTTATAACTTTTATATTAATTAATAAAAAAAACTTACTTCTTGAAATATAATATATAAAAATAGTAAGAGCGATATAATATAATCCTAAAAATTATAATATCGTAAATATAAGTACTTTATTTTAAAGATTTATAAAAGATATAAATTTTTTCTTAAAAAAATATTTTTAAAAATTAATTTATATAAGAATAAAATATCTAAAAATATAACTTCAAATTTTTTCAGTTTTATATATTAATATATATAATTATTTATAAAAGATTTATATTTTACATATTATTAAGTAATTGAAATATTAATTTTTTTAATTTTTAAACAAGTATAAAAAGATTATTAATAATAATAGTTTTAAATAAAAGCTATTAATTAAACTTAAATAAAATAGCTTATATTACTTATATAAAGTTTAAAAAACTTAAAAATATTTTTATTTAATTTTTAATCTTTTATATATTAAAATATTATAGTTTTTTTTAATAATTTTTAAATTAAATAAATTAAATAATTATTTATTAAAATTTTTTAATAATATAAGTTTCTTACAAGGCAAGAACTATATTTAAAAGTTAATATTTATTTTATTTTTAATTAATATATAAGAATTTAAATAAATATAATTATTAATAAAAACTTAAATAATAAATTTAAATTATATATATAATAAGTATTTTTTATACTTTTAAGTTCTTGAACTCCTTTTATAATTATAGTAAGGAAATTTAATTAAAAGATTTCCTTTAAATTAAATTATTCTAAATTATATTAAAAAATAAATAATAAATCTTAAATTTTGAAAATTTTGAAACTTTAAAATTATATTTCTTCTTTTAAAAGGCATTTAAAGATTATATTTAAGCTATGAAATTTAATATAAATTATTTTAAAAATAATTATATAAAGATTTTATAAGATTTATAATTATTATAAAAGTTATTAATTCTTTTAATAAATTACTTATTTCTCAAAAAAATATAAATATTATTAATAAAATTATAAAATTATTATAAAATTAATATAAAGTACAAAAATAGAGTACCTAGTAATTCTATAATAGCTTACTTTCTATAAATATAATTTGTGGTTATTTTATAATTAAATATTTTAGTTTTCTGGTTAGGCGTGCATTTAAGCGGGCCGTGCATTTAAGCGGGCCGTGCATTTAAGCGGGAGCTCGAGTAACTCCAAAACGCGAACTCTGTTGGCCTCGCCATTACATGACTGAAGGTCCTTATGGTACTTGTAGGCATCCACTGTATCCTCTAGGCTACACCACCATCACATGTTTCCCTACAAGTTCTCCATGTCCGCCTCATGCTCCAGCAGCAGTTGTGCTATCGTTTCGTGCCCGTTACTGGCCGCCAAGTCCCGCGCTGTACGTCCAGCCTTATCCTCCACATTGATGTCCGCCTTGTGCTCCAGTAGTAGTTTAACAACCCCCTCATGCCCTAACTCTGCAGCACGTGACAATGGCGTTCTCTTCCATCTATTCATTTTTCTCTCTGCATTTTCTTCCGCTGCCCTGCTCGCCTCTGCTTCCTTTGTCAATTGTTTCCTCATCTTCCAAGTTTCTCCTTGTGACAGTGCTTCGGTTGCTGCTATTTGGCTTGCAATTGCCACGTTCTTTGCCCTGTTCCATTTTTCCCTTGCCCTTTTCTCCGCCTTTAGTGCAACTGCGTTCCATTCAATGGGTACGTAACAGTAGTTCATTTTGGCGCCCTTCGTGAGCAGAAGCTTGGTGACCGCCTCAGATCCGTTTCTAATTGCCCTAGCCAATGGTGTGCCGTCACCAGATTCTTTTATCTCGATATCGGCTCTTTCCTGGGGTAGCAGTGCCGTCGTTCCTTTCCCATTCCCGTCATCGACACTCTCCCTCCTCTCAAGAAGCATCCACATCACTGCCTCGAGATCTCCATGGCTTACTTTCTCCCCATCTGCTCTCGGGTCACCTTTATCAGTCCACCATGACTTACGGGCAGAGCGATATTCTGTCCATCCAAGCAAAATCTGTATCATTTCTTGATAGTTCTCTGATGCAGCTTCATGCAAAACAGAATGGTCTCCAGAAACAAGGGGAGCTCCGTGCAATAAGAGCAACTCAACAATCTTTGCGTAACCTTTATACGCCGCAGCTTTCAGGGTGCCGTTGTATGGCTCTGCATCTATCTTGTCGATCACTGACTTTGTCGACTGCGCCCATTCCGAAAGGGATATTTCCGGAGACTTCGGAGTTGTTATTACCTCTGCCGCATCGGGGGAGTCTCCGGGCGAGCTAATTGTTACCCCATTTGCTGCATCAACAAGCTCTTTCGATGAGCGGATTGCTGTGACTTCATTCCGCACCATTAGCGCATGCCGGTACCAATTGTTGGCCGCATACTCGATGAGTGGACGAGTTATTGGACAATAACGACAGTTGTTGTCAGTTGACCCGTGACTTGAGTTGTCTATATCATATCGCTCCAGGAAAGTAAGGCAGCATTGGGCGATAGAGATATGTGCATCGATGCTTTGGACGTAATACTCCTCGTCATGACTCTTCTCCAAGAGAAGATATTCCTTTACTGTGTAGTGAGAAAATTCCACGGTCTTGTCATGCTCGCGGATTCTAATAAGACTTGAAAAGGTATCCATCAAGTATTCTTGGATCCTGGATGTCTCAACGGATTCGGTAGGACCGTGCGCGTCCAGTGTGACCACCTCATAAAGCTTTTCAAGACGTAGCGAACGTTTCGAGAACGCCAGCCATTTAAGCATATCAATTACGCTCTTCTTCTCGCCTTGCGGTATTCTCTCTAATATTCGCCGATATGCATCCACGTACGCTTTAGGGAGATTTTTCAAGGTGGCCATAACTACATCTTTTTGCTTAAATGGCGGTATTGCCTTTAACGCGGTGCAGAGCTCATCAATGTAGCATTTCACCAACTGAAACCTAGAAAGAGAATTAGAAAGGTGTCAAAACTTATTGAAGTATTCGGGATGTGGTCCTAACGTACATCCCCTTTGCCTTCTCCTTAAGGGACGAAACAATGTAGGCTTTCAGTTCAGTATCCAATCTACGCAAATTGCGTATTTCTTCAATTCTCGACTCGATCACAGTTTTGATATCACCAGCAACATAATTATGAACCTCGAAATCGCGGCGGTAGCCGCCGAGCGCAATTGCATTTTTCAATTGGTCGTTGATTGCGGGCTTGTCGTCACGACTGGAGACCAAAAGGTGTAAGTTGGGAATTTCGAGGGCAATTAGCTTTGAAAGGTAGTCTGATAGTTCTGATACCACTTCTCCTTGCGGAGAAGTATAACATTCATCCAGTGCATCAATAATTATATATGTTTGAGCCGAAAGCGGAAGGACGGACCGAAATGTGCCATACAACTCAGATTCTGAGGGGGTTGTGGCCGTGTAGTCGTAATACAGATTTCGGACATCCTCAGGCAGGTCGAGGGTATTCGAGCAGAGATCCCCAATAAGGGATCGTAGAAGGCTCGATATGTCCCGCTTCTCGGAACGCTTCGAGTCGAAGTAATAGTACGCAAGAATGGGATGGTCCTTGTTAGGCTTGTCCTTGTTGGGCTTGTCCTTGTTGGGCTTGTCCTTGTTGGGCTCGTCCTTGTTCGGATTAAAATAGTCTTTCAAGTGTTTAACAACGATGGAGCTGATTAATTAAATTGTTATTGGATACTCATTGCTCTGCCTTGAGGAATAATTATTATGTTCGTACCTGAGTATCGTCTTCCCACATCCAGGAATTCCGTGCAGCCAAATCAAACTGCTCTTACCCTCCATCCATAATTTAAAAGGAAGGGAGCCCAAAAACCAATCCCCAGTTGTTTCGATATGCTCTGTTACCGCTGCGTTCAGGTTCTTAGAGGGATCTGTCGTCACTAGCCATTTCAGGATCGTCTCACGTTGGACGGCGGGGTCTAGATCTAGGAATTCTCCAATATCAGCGCCCATCTTTGTATTTGGAGTTCTATATGGTAAATTCAATCTAACCCCGTTGAATTTCATTCATTACCTTCGGTGTAGAATTTGATATCATGGCCTTGGTGGAGGGATGCGTGGTCCTTGACAGTTGTATTTTCCCACGTGCCTCCAAAATAAATACCCTTGCCCTGAAGCACAGCAGTTCTCAACAACTCTCTGAGATCCATAACTACTATAAGGTTAGGTGAGCTTTATTGATGCTGTAGCCTGTGATCTTTGTATGATGCAGACTTTACACCATGAGGGAAGAGATTGATTTCATGCAAACTCCTCGGAGGTAATAGTTCAGTCGCCTCATCACATTCGGGGTACTCGTTCGGCCGGGCTCACCTGGTTCTCGCTTAGCACGCTTACCAGGTGAGGGAGGGCAATACGCAAAAACCAGCAATACGCAAATCACCGCAAAATTTTGTATGGGGAAATTTGACACCCCCGTAACTACGGATTTTTGGCTCTAAATTTTAGAGGGGAGAAGTTTTAGTATTAAGAAACTATTTCTACTTCTTAACGAGTTATTAATTACGTACGGTTGCTTCCAAAATCATGCGCGAATAATTGATTTTTGGTGGGGTTTTACATTTGTGTATTGCTGGTTTTTGCGTATTGCCCTCCCTCACCTGGTAAGCGTGCTAAGCGAGAACCAGGTGAGCCCGGCCGAACGAGTAGAAGAGACGAATGGAATTGACCTTGTGATCTCTGCCTTGCAGCGCTACCAATGGCTGTTTGCCAGCATTGTATTAACATCCACGTGCCCTTTTGCGACGCCATTATTGGCCACGCATCTGAACGCCCTGCGGCAGACCAGACGACGTCGAGATTGCCACGTAAGCAATGTCTTCATACCACCAGGGGTTGACAAATATCGTGCACCATTTTAACCGAGAACACCAAAATCACACCAAAAGTCAGCAACTTCAGAATTATGACAAAGCTTTATTCTCTTATAGAATCCCGTAAAAATTGGAGCCTGTTTAGAATATCTAGTTGGATATTGTATTGTTTAAAGGAAATCATAATCTAAATGTTAATTATAATCTTAATTGTATAATTATTCGTAGCTTAATTTACCCATATAAAATTTGGTAGGGTTTTTAAGGAGCAAATAGAGCATAAAGAATTATATAAAATAAAAATACAGCGAGAAATTTAGTTATTCCAAAGTCCAAAAGGTCTAAATCATTATTGCATTCTCTAGTTTAAAGGGAACTTATTTGAGGTTATAAATTTTGTATAATCTTAAAAGCATTAACTTTTGGTGCGATTTTGGTGTTCTCGGCTAGAGTGGTGCACGATATTTGTCAACCCCTGGTGTACAGTCGGTCCGATCCAAAAGCGACAAAAAAAAATAAAAACCACCACAATACTAATTGATATAAATCGTATTAATTAAAACTATACTATATACTATAGGAATTAATTCTATGTTCTCAAAATTATAATATCTTTATTATTAAGGAAGTTATAATGCACGTGATTAAGCGAGCAAATATATTGGCGTTTTGTATGGCCGTTTTTTTACTTTGGTTATCACGTGACTGCCCCCTAAGTTGACCGCTCTTCTATAATTATATTAATACCTCAATAACCACAAACCCAATCAAGTGCCCCTTTTGCATACTTCTAATGGCTACCTCTATGAGGCTTCAGAAACGCAAGCAAGCTGATTCGACTCTTGATTCAATTATAGTTCTCACTATAGCTAAAGAAGCTGTAATCCAAGCATCTATTAACGAACGGCATGGGAAACCCTCTAATATAGAGGATGATTCTGATAAATCAGATATTAAACAAAGCAACGAAGCAGAGCTTGAAGATTCGACTCTCTTTTGGGCTCAGCGAAAGCTTATTATTAGTGGTAATGAGACGATTATTTTAGAGAAGCCTATATTCGCATAGCGAGAGCAAAGACTTATAGAACAGACTAGTAAGTTTCTTATTTTATTTTCTTATTTTTATATTATAATATAAGTATACTAATATTATTTCTAGCTTCTAGAGGCTCCTATATCTCTAAAATAATAAAGGAATTAGTAAAGCTATTGAGAACTTAATAAAGACATATATATAATTAGAGGGCAAAAGATACTCAAGTTATAGAGTAATCTAGTAGGCTTAAGACCCCTATAATTATACTACCCCTTAAATAAAAGAAGCTATAATTCGATATTGTCAGGAGGCCAATTAATATCCCTAGGGATGTGTAATTAAGGGAAGAGCAAAGGCTTGAAAATAAAGACAATGGAACTAACGAGCTACTTTTGGATGCCCTTATTAGAAACGCTTGCGGAGATGACGAAGCTCTAGATATACGAATGACTTATTAAGAAATCCTTAATAATGTGGATATTAAGCTAGCTTAAACCAAAGAGCTATATACTTTACGTATAATTACTGACTTATACTTACTCCGGTAATATACCTAACAGCTTCTAAAGCTAGGGCAATATCGACTTGGAAGGGTTAATGTATTACTCTTAGTAGCTTCTAGTAATTATTGCTTTAATAATGGAAAGATACTAGCTCGGCGAATTAGGGGGCTATTTAATTACTATTAATAGTGGCATGGTATTTTACAGGAAACTAGGGGTAGTAAAAGAGCTAGTGCCTCCTATCTAGATAACGAGGATATTTTTTTAGCTTGCCGTACTTGGTTGATTAATTAAGAGCTTGGAACGATATCTAAAAAGGTAATGAACGAATGGGATAATATGTAAAAGTAAGGGAAAGAAGATAGCTAAGTAATAAGTAAGGTTTATGGATTTAGTTCGGCCAAAAGTTAGCTTGAAACCTATATAATTAGGGCCCTACTATATATATAATATGTATAATACCAGAAAAAGCTATATTTAGTATTTAGGAAGGTTTACTTAAGCTTATAGGGCTTAATTATTATTATTATATTAATAATAAGGCTGGTGAGATGCCGCGATCTCCCCCTGAAGTCGGGGATCACGTGACCTTAGCGAGCAAATATATTGGCGTTTTGTATGAGGAAAAATCAAAAAAAAGTAAAAAGGGTCCGTGCACTTTGAACCTCGATTATTAATGAACCACAAATTATATTAAAAATCTGATTAATAGGTATCTTTCGCCTGGTTCTACTCTATAATCGCATCACTTAGTATTAATTAATTGTGGTTGTGGTTAAAAAGTTATTATGGGCGTAAAAGAGCGACCGTTTTGTCGCTTTTGGATCAGACCGACTGTACCTTTATATCTCTGTGTCCCCATTAGCAAGCGGCTACTCACCACTCACCACTACGCTGCGCAAAGTTTCACGAAGCTCCTCTGTCCTCTATCGCAATGACTTCTTCCAAAACAAACACCGACCTTGCAGAAATCGAGCACGAGTATTCCAAATGCCATAGCTGGATTCAAGGAATTGCTTTCGGCGCAGCCTTTAAGGCAGAGTTTGGAGAAAATTGCTGCAAGCTGGATGCAGTTGCAATTCACCTAAGCCGCTGGGGGACAGCAATGGGCTTCACTAAGAGTTCGTCGTCTGCACCATCGACCGAGGATTGCTCGGAAGAAACCATTCAAAGGGCCAAAGAGTGCCTGTCCGCGATCAATACAGCTTTCTCCCAAGCATTCGACGATGGGTCAGTTTTTCTGGAGACGGCAGGACGAGAACAAACCAACATTTTGGACTCCCAGATACAAATTGGAGAGTCTTCCGACGGCTGGAACACATTACATAAAGCTTTGCAACAGATCTACCAAACGCGCACACCAAGAAACAACACAGTACCCAAACCCAATGTCATTCGCCTATACGAACAGGATACTTTCGTTGGGCTTGTACAAATTGTATCCGCCCAGATCCGACGATTGAATAAGGTCTTCCCTTCACTCAAGGCCGAGCAGACTACGCTTTCCTCTGATGAAGTTATCGCTATCAAAGGTAGCGGACCTATTGTCATCCTATGGCTCAAGGGTATCGTCAAAAGCAACGACGAGTTCCTTCATGAAGCTCTAGAAAAAGAAACCTCTAACAAGAGAAATTTCTTTGACGGGACAGACTTGAAGGGGAAGTCCAAGATGCATGTTGGGCACAAAATTGCGCCGGGGGCAATGGGAAGTGAGGGGCCGACAACTTGGACGAATACTACCGGAAGTGAAGAGGCGGAGGGGCACGTTGGGAATAGTTACGGGTACTAAGTGATGGTCTCCTTTTTGAATTGCTGAGAATGAGACGATGTTTTTGAACACAATACTATATATGCTACGGCTTAAGTTTGAAATGGGTCCTGGATTACAGGGCCCCTATTTTCTTCTCTCCTTCTCCCTTTACTTCAAAATGCCAAAATGTCCTTGATCCTCCGTATCCATCCGCTGTGTTGCTTCCCTCCTATGGCACTTATCGTCTAGGTCGAGCTGAAGTGAAGTATCCTCTATTTTCCAACGTGAATCCACCGTAGTATCGCAGGAATATATATCCGTATCGTTCGAAAATTCGTAGAAAGCTTCGCGTCATCCTTGATATATACTCGAAGTGTTGTGGTACTAAAATCCAAGCTTCTAAGCTGTACGAATCCGTTTACCCTCTGACACCCTCCTTGAGTCCGCCCTAGTATGTTCGAAACCCACCAAGGTAGGGAATCAACCGGCACTCCTTCTGCCTTCCTTGGCTATCCGCTTTGTCCACTTCTTGCACCGTATCGGTGGGTGGTTATTGCGACCGTGAAATCTCTTCTTTTCAGGCCATCCGAACCCTCCGAATCAAATGGCGATCCATCACCTCGATCGTAACATGCATCAGAAACACCTCCGCTAACTCAATCTTGGCTCTGCAGATACTCCAGATGAATCGTAGGGGACATCAAGTACAGGTGCTGAGTCTTCGTCCCCGGAATACCTATCAATGGTTGCTGGTCAGGGCGGGTTTTCATAATTAAATTTTCACCAGATGTATCGCTTATATAAGTTATTTTCATTTCGGCGTGTATTTGGGACCTTAAAAAAACAGTTTATCAAGTCTCTACTTTGATAACATCATCTTCTACCACGCTTCAATATTTATCTATGATAGCCTCTTCTTTGATCTCGCCTCTCCTCTCCTCTCCTCTCCTCCTTCCTACTTTCCCTCGAATAGAAGACTCGAAAGAGTGAGATCAAGATAGTCGACGTAGCCGACGAGGTCGAGATCTCACGAGCAAGTCCTAAAGCCCTTATAGATATAATCATAATAAAGTATATGAAGCCACTACAGTCCTTGATCACAAATCTCTATCTAGTTTTGGGTTCAGGACGCCTCCAATATGGCCTTGGGATGCACACACGTGTAGGTACCTAGGTATTGATTAGTTCACGTGATCCGCATGTGCGATTACCCTGTGTTGCAATGTTTTGGAGGTTGACGACTTGATTTTTCAGCTTACGCGGGGTAAGCACTCTATATATACATCTGGTATATAAACTACAGTGTACCAGCGTACACTCAGTTCCAACACCCTGCAGCCTAATTAGAAATCAAACCTCTTGACTTTTGATATCCCAAAACTTACAAGATTTCTCACCTTTCTCCCTTAAAATTTGCTTGTTTCATTGCCACCTTGACCCCAACTCACACTTCGTCATGGCTGAATCATTGGGTATTGCTGCAAGCGTCATTACTGTAGCAGGGCTTGCCTACTCCAGCAGCAAACTGCTCTACCAGGTTATCAAAGACATCCAGGATGCCCCAAAAACCTTCCTCGACCTAAATACCGACATCGAAGTACTGTACAAAACAATACATTCCTTGATGCAGGCGTTAGCTGAAGGGGAGAAAGGCGCGGCCTGGTCCGAAGCTCAAAAGTTGAACTTGAGTGAGATCGAGCCTTCTCTGGGAGGGTGTCGTGATACCTGCGATGAGTTCAAAGCCAAACTCGATAAACTTATGTCCAATTCTAAGGATGGCCATACCAGCGTTCGAGATAGGCTCAAGTTGCAGTTTCAGGACAAGGAGGTCGCAGCATTTCGAATGCGGCTAGCTAGCTATAAGTCAACACTTACCATCGCTTTGGAATTCTCCTCATTGTAAGCTGCCTTTCACTTCATGTGTCATTTGCTAACTATAGCTTCTAGCAAAAGCACATCGCAAAACCTCGAGGCCACCAAAGCCCTTGAAGCAAAGATTGAGGCCGTCGCGGCGCGTCTGACAGGCCAAATGCAAGGACTTCAAATTGGCCTACAAGCTTTCCACGATGCTAGTGCTCAAAGCCAAGAGCTCGTTACGACTACCCAGCAGCAAGAACTAGCACAAGCCCAGGATTCCAAGCTCTTACTTGCTATTGAACAACAAAACATCGCTCTCGGACACTGTTATAGAGCTTGTATGGCAGCGTTGAAGGAAACAACTCAAGCTACAGGCCATACATACAAGTATTTAGAAGCTTCCAACGAGGCTAGAATGCTTGCGGGCGACTTGGGTAATGTGCCTGGAGGCTCTAAAAATACATACGAGGTTGTTCTTGCAAAGGATAAAGCAAATATAGTCGTGGGAAACATGGAATGGCAATATGCGAAAGATTTCTTTCAGAGATAATTGTTACACCTTTATGCTGTACCAAGGACTGCTATGGCGCCATGGATGAGGAAGGCTAGTGTTGTCTGTCTTATCGTCTTATTCAGGAATTTCATTAGAAATTAATGCCCTTTTAAGGACACGGTTTTGCGTCTTATTCTATTCTCTTGGTAATTGTCAGTTGGAAGGTCGCGTGTTCTGCTATAACGAATCTATTACTGCAATTAAACTTGTTTTTCCCTATTTGGGTAAGATCTATAGGCTTTTTCCTTATATAAATTCACTACTTTGCTCTGTATTGTACACTCCTTAAACAATCTCTCCTATATAATCCCGCTTCCTACCTCTAAATCCGCATCTTCCCGAAGGTTCAAGCTCAAATCATCCAACAGCTTTCGAGCTGCCGCAAACGCCTTGAGAGCCTTGGCGTTGACCGAGAATCGGCGGACCAGCAGCGCCGGTTCTTGCTCGAAATGTCGAGAGAATTCCAAGACATTACTAACTCCGCCTTGGATGCGTACTACTCTCGTAACAAGGTATTCAGAAGCATTCCTGAGCTTAGACTTGCCACTTTAGCTGTCGACCGCATGGAAAAGTTCTCAGAAGAGATGGAGAGTTTTGGGCACACAGTCTGCTTTGATTCGCAAGATGATGAGGAAACGGTTCGGAAGTGCAGTGCCCCCAGTACGCCCTCAAGTCGAGCGATTCGGCCAGCCTCTAACGACTAATCACGACTATGAGAACTTGCAGAAGTGTAAGACACGCCGTCTGGAGAAGCTGCTAGAGAAGCACGCAGAGAAGCATTACAACGCCCAAGGCTGGGTCCAACCGCAAGGTCGTGAAATTCGAGCGGATTCGGCAGTTGATGACTATCGATAATGCTGAATCTACCATCCAGGAGATCCATGATAGACTGGAATCATACTACACAGTTGCGAGAAAGCGCTTTGTAGACACTGTGTGTATGCAGGGCAGCGATTTCCACCTCTTGACTGGAGCGATCTCACCGCTACGTATCTTCGGGACGGCGTTCGTTAGCGAGCTGTCTGCGGCGCAGTTAGATATAATCGCTGGAGAAGACAATTCAACGAAACAGCTTCGGAAGAACTTGAGAAACGAGATAGCTGCTCTTGAAGAGGGTAAGAAGTTGCTCAGGGTCTAGGATAGTAAGAGTCCTCGTTTTGGGGACTGTGGGATGCCTTTATACTGGATAGTTTTCTCTTTGGTGATTGCAGCGCTGTCTAACTTTTGATATGAAAGAATAGCAATGTTGTTGCGGTTCGAATCTGAGGGCTATTACATCAAGACATAGTGACCAAACAGTGTAATTTGCGCGCGTTTACATAGTGGTCCTCTCTGTTCGTATCATCCCTCCTATACCAACACCATACCCATTCCCTCCTCAGGTTCTTCCTCATAGATTATCTCCCAACCAGTAACACCTCCCCACTAATAGGATCCTTGAAACTAATACCGTATTCGTTCCTACATGATAGGCTAAGATGTGAGGCAATAGGTGTTCGTGTCCGAGTCTCGTCGCGAAGAAATCTTTTAAAGGTGGAGAGGAGTTGGCTATAATAAACCTTCTTCATATTTCTAGCTACTCGAGACTCTATATCAGTTACGCCGTACATATCCGCCAATCTAACAATGGTTTCCTCTGGTATTGACTCGCCGGAGACGACTGGGCTGAGGCGTAGCCACTACGACAGCATTTGAAAGCTTCGAGTTGAAACAACACCATCTATCTCTTCTAAAGTTGTTGACTGGTCTTCGCCCTCCTTAAAGTTTTCTTCGAACGCAGCTGCGAAATATGGGGATTACTTGCAGAGGAGGGCTTTCGGGAGAGTATATTCGTGGCTTGCAGAACCGATGCGAATCGTGACTTGGGGGCCAGAATAGAGTGGGAGGAGGCTGTTATATTAGCATAGAACGATAACGATACTTCTAATTACTTACGACGATGCAAAGTCTTCAAAAGGTGCATCAAGAAGTCTCTTCTGGGGATTTGTGCTCGACATATCGGTGCTTTGATGTTTGTCGAGATGTTACAGGCCTCTTCCGAGCTTAAGGCATAAACCTAACTCGTAAGGCGCCAGGCCACAACTCCTCGGTGCCTGGCGAAGGTAATATCATTTACCTGGCCGAACTATTTTAAGTGCCGATAACGCTGGCGAGCCTGTGCGCTGACGTGATTCCCATTTTGAACCCTCTTCAACACGGCAGCAGCGTCCTGCGTTAGCGTCCTGCGTTAGCGTCCCCTCTCTCTAAGAGATTTGATGCATAAACATCTACGGTGTCGGATTGTTGATAATAGCTGGAACCCGGTTGGTTGGTTCGTCTGTGATATATCCTTCACCTTCAAAATCTCTCTTCAACTGTTCAATAACCTTTCCGTCGACTTGACAGCACGGGTATAGGAAGTCTAAATGTGCAATCGATATTTAAGCTGTGCCTTTATACCTGGCAAGCTTATCCCTTGAACTTCTTTGTTTAAAACTATCTATGTTGAAGGATTCGCCCTGCCCGACGTGGTGACAAACTGAATAGCGTGTACAAACTGAATAGCGTGTACAAACTGAATAGCGTGTACAAACCAAACGGTGTGTAAAAACCAAACGGTGTGTAAAAACCAAACGGTGTGTAAAAACCAAATGGTGTGTACAAACTGAGTGGTGCGTGAAAACCAGGTGGTGTACAAGATGATCCATTAGACGACCCCACCACCAAGATGACTCCGGTGGTCGCCCTGACGCTGATATCCTAATGGAGAATCATCCAACCAGGCCGTCATTTGGTGATGGCCCTAGGTCATCCGCTACCCTTGATAGAGTGACCATCCGGTGATCGAAGATCCACTTGGGGTGGGGATCATCTGGGTCGGTCGTCATGATCCGCTCGCTTGCTGGATGGTCTTGGATAAACCCCCCTAACTTACTTTTTGGATGGTCGCCCTCAAAATATATACCATCACAATCAATAGTTAATGGATGCTTGGACTGGTCGAGACAATTCAATTCTAAGTAGTGGGCGTTTTACCCCCCAAAATAAGGCCGTTCGATTCATTTGATGCGAGAAGGGGGCCAGAATTGGACGCCCTCCAACGTTCCCTTGGGCTGAATCCCTTGGTCTCACTAACTTCACCTCAAATCCCTTGTCACTAATTTTGCGGATATAAAGCTTCTTTATCGCAAATTGTTTATATTCCTTCAATCAACTATGGTTACTCCAGCACGAAATCGTACTTCATCACGAACAGGCGAGAACTGCCGAAGAAGAAAGCGCACACTGTCTTTAAAAAAGTACATGAATTTGGAAAATTACATCACGCAAAGATTGGACTTTTTATTTACCAGTCTGGTCGTTACTTCACATACAGATCTAGCAAAAAATTAGCATGGCCTTCTTGGGAAGAGATTGTAAGTTTTAATAATTGGTTTATATACAAATACTAATACAAAAACAGCAACAATCATATCCACTTTCAAAAGATCTCTTGCCAGAGGATTTCGAAGCTAGCAAGCAGGATTCCATCAAGCAGGATTCCATCAAGCAGGATTCCATCAAGCAGGATTCCATCAAGCAAGATTCCGCCAAGAAAGATTCTCAGACGGGCAGTGAAGCTTATTATTAAGCTCGGGCCAGAAGCTTGGGATTGCCGCCACAGGCCAAGTGATATGATATTACGTGGGGTGTCTCGGTGAATAGCATATGATTAGCAAGCACGAGGTTTCGCAGAAAATAAAGCTTAAGAGAAGGATAACATTTAATATCATGAAATGGATGAATGAATTTATTATTTACTCATCACGACGCATAGCTCTTGTTACAAATCATAGTACTTCAGTTTCCAGTGCTAAAACTCAGCGTGCTCCAAGTTGTAATACACCGAAGCTGCGTACTTCAGACCGGAGTACTCCAAGTTGTAGTACTACAGCTCAGAGTACTCCGGTCTGAAGTACGAACATAAGGCATACGTCACTCTGCAATACTCCACATTGTAGTATTTCAAACGGGTGTACTCTGAATTGTAGTATTACAACTTGGAGTACTCCAGTCTGAAGTGCGAACATACCGCATACGTCACCTTGCAGTACAAGTCGCTTACAATATCGGCTTCCCCTCCACACTCGCTAGAAGATTCTGAGCCCCACCTGCCAGACGGGGCTTCCGTAAAATATCTGCCGTCCTTGACCAGCGGTTGGGGTCAAATAGGTGTGGATGGCGCTTTCGCTCTGCTTCTTCCATGGCGTACTGTAGGGCTGTCTTGCCAGAGAAGTCTGTCATGTTCTGATGGATATCTAAATTTCCAAGGAGAAATATCAGGGCTTCCTCTGTAAGAGAGCCTCTAAGCGCAATTGTATGCAGCAGGTTCATTCCCTTGGAGTTTGTCTTGTCCATATCCACGTTGTAGTCCTTGAAAAGCTGTAGGACTTCAACTTCCACTTTCCCATACGTCGCGTATAATTCGGCCAGAGTCTTCCCTGCTTTGTTGACAGACTTTGCATGAGTTCCATGAATAAGCAGTAGCTGGCAGATTACTGGGTCAGTGAAAAAGCGGAACTGACTTAGATAGTGCGCTAATGGCGAATTCCCATAGTCATCCGTGTTGTTGGCACTGGCTCCTAGATATAACAGCGTTCGTATCATATCGAACTCAACAGAGCAGGATTCTTCTACTGAGTGATGCAACGCAGTTCTTCCAACACTATCTTTGATGTTCAAGAAATTGGGAACAACTCCTTGGTACGCTCCAAGGATAGATACGACAGTCCGTGCGTTGCGGCTTTTGGCAGCATAGTGAATTGCAGTTTTGCCCTCGTTGTCGGCCATTTCTATGACAGCTCCTTCGTTGAGGAGGATCTCTACTGATTCAAGATGTCCTGCTAAGCTCGCCAGGTGTAACGCCGTCTGTCCCTTTAAATTACGAGCAGAGATTTTAGCCCCTTTCTGAATCAAGCTTCGAACGATGTGTGGAGAGTCCAGCTCTTTATAGTTTACTCTGTGTAATAACGATAAACCTTGAGCATCCTGCAATGTGACGTTGGTTCTATCATCTCTGAGAAGCGCCTCGACCACAGCTCTTCGCGTTTTAGTAATTTGAGTGGCTACTTCCTCTTGTACGTCCTCGTCATAGAGCTCCACAACATCCCACAAATCTTCCAGTCTCCAACGAGCCTCATTCCATGCATCTTCATACTTCGACCCCTGGATGCTCTTGGAGAGCGCAAGATGTAGTGGTGTTTCTCGATAGTGTGAGAGTGCATTAGGATCGGCACCTTGACTGAGAAAGAATTCCGTCATCTCTGCATCGCCGACTAACGCTGCAAAATGGAGCGGAGTCAAACCTCTGAGATCGCTTGTGTAAAGCTCTTGAGCTATATCTGCATGGCTCAGTTCGTACACAGTAGATCCATGCCGGCGCCTTGGCGTCCAGCTCCTCCTCTGAACTCCGAAGTCAATAGCCACCCCGTTTTGAAGAAGTACGCTCGCAATGTCTCTGCGATTGTACTGTACTGTACAATGCAATGGTGTCATGTTGTTGACATCAATCATATCGACAGGTGAGCCATGCGCTAATAGCAGTTCCACTATTTCCGTGCCGAAGTATTCACTCTCGACTGACAAATGCGAGGCACTTTTTCTCTCTCCGTCAAACGCGGTCAGCTCGGCACCAGCGCGTAGCAAAAATTCAACCGCCGCCCTATGACCTTTGCTAACTGCAGCAAGCAAAGGTGTCTGTCCTTGCAAGTCTCGAGCCTCCACGTTTGCTTGGCGTTGAATAAGTAGGTCCATGGACACGATTTGCCCGATCGATGCAGCATGGTGTAATGCTGTTCGTTTCAACGTATCAAACTTATCAATGCTCGCCTCCTTTGGTAGCAACACCTCTACCAGTTCGTCATTCCCATTGTCTATAGCCCACATCAACGGTGTTTGGCCGTCAGAATCTGTGGCTTCTAGGTCATGTCCCCTCTTCAGAAGTTCGATTGCTGCACTTCGCAGGCCAAAGTACGCTGTAAGATGCAATCCTTTTACTCCCTCAGGAGCCATGGTGTTTTGCATTGCTTGACTCGCGCCTGCGACCTTGACTTCGCTTTCGAGAAACTGTAGCACTAGTCTGTCCATTTGAGTCGTTGCAAGCCCCTTGCGAGCGTGGTGTCCCCAATTTCTGGCGGCGTACTCGAAGAATTGATTTGATCGTAATGGCTTCTCAAGCTCATTATCCTTTGGACAGGCTTCGCCTTCGAAGACACTAATTGAGAGGTACGTGACGCAGATTGTCGCAATCTCCGCGTCTGCACTGGGAAACCAATGGCTTTGCGTACGATCGAAGTATTCCTGTGTTGTGTAGTGGACTAAGCGGATGATATTGCTCTCTTCATCCACTGTGACTAATCCGGCGCACACCGAGACAATGTCTTCGATATCTGGGAGGTTGTCTTCGTCTAGTTCGAGCTCATCGATTTCTACAGCAATTGCATGCCGAAGTTCTAACGTCGTCAATGGTCTTGTCGCGCAAGTGATCCATGAGAGAACCTTCTTGGCAAGTAGTCGAAAGCCTTCTCTCTGCCCATTGATTCTATCCATTGCTCTATCGTATACCTTCGATAATACTTTGAGCTTCTTATTCTCACTAGAATCCTGAGCTTGGATTTGGAATTGATGTAATGCTACTCTTATAGCCTTTGGTGAAGTTAAATCCTCAAGTTCGCGGAAATAAAGCTCTGCTAAGAGAAACCTAAGCAATTGTGAATATAAAAACATTGCTGATGGAAGTTAATAAGATACATACATTCCCTCAACGGTCCTTGAAATCTCATCCTTGATTTCTTCTTGCAGTTTTGGTCTGCTCGAGACGAACTTACGGAGCTGCGACATATGGCCATCTAGATATCTCTGTACGTCTCCATCGCTGGCAAGAATTTCGCGTGAGAGATATCCCTTGAACTCTTTCTCGATCTCCAGATTCGGTCGGGAGGTTGCGAAGAGCTTCGCTCCAGTCTTGTCTTGAAGATCAAAGATTTCTGATAGGAGTCTCGATCGACATCCATCCGACACTTGGCATTCATCTATCGCATCGAGGACAATAAAGACTCTCGAAAATGTAGCAACCACGGATCTCAAAGTTGTCGAGATCTCGTCGAGTGATGGATGCGTACGCTTCTCCTTGTACTTACTGTAAAGAGATAACACACTCTCTGGTAGAGAAGACTGGCCTTCAGCAAGCTGTTTAAGTAGACTTTCGAGGAGGTCTTTAGCCTTCTGCTCGCCCTGGCGCCGAAAGTTACAGAAGATATATGCAATGCCAATGGTTGCGTTGTCGGTAAACCGTGTAGCCAGGTCATTAACCACAATGGCTGTAAGAATTGTCTTTCCCGCGCCAGGAATGCCTGGACAAAATAGCGTTCGTTTATCGGTGTGCATCCACTCTTGGAATTCTACACAGTCCAGAAGCCATTGGCCAGTTCCTTCCTGTCGGCGGCTAATGAAGTCGCTCTGCTGAGGTGTATAGTCGGTTGGGGTGAGCCAGTCTAGGATAGCCTGACGATTTTGCTCTCGCTCTTGATTCTCTTGACGCTTATTAGATTGATCTACGCCGTCTCGAATAGCCAAAGTGATTTTCGTGTCAGCTTGACGCCATTCCTGCTGTTCTTTTCTTCCTTCTCTGACCTCTTTATAGATGGTTGCCCCTAAAACGGCCGCATCGATTGAGAGCATACTGTTGAGCGATTGGCACTGCCGCGAAAGGTTTTGGACTGATTCTCGAGTGTCCTTAGCTAGGAAAGCCCCTTTGAATCTCTCCCAGCTTAGCCGTTGTCCTTGGCCTCTCTTTCTTAGCTCCTCTAACAGAGACTCCAGCTCTTTCTGACATATTTCGAGCATGTCTTTCGTACCATTGGTAGAGGGAGCATTAGGTCCAAGTTGCGAGAGGAGTACTGAGGGTCGGTTTTGAAAAGCTTCCGCGAAGTCTGTATTGAGAAGGATGTTGACATTAGTTTCGGACAATACAGTTTTCAGTGTTCGAAGCTCAGCCATAAACGCTTTAACTGCTTCTGGTGCATCCTTCCAATCCATCCCAAACTGGACCACTACCTGTGTGATCTGGATAGCTAGACCGATAACGCCGACGATCCCAGCTCCAGTGCCGAAAGGGTCGGCCATGGCATACTAGAATGAATAGAGGGCTTGTTGGTTTCAACTATTATATAGCCTCAATTGCAAATTGGTTGCTGTGTAGCGCAAGGCTGTCAAGAGCCCGCAGGTTGAACTTGTTGATGTGGATTGGGATGTTATTGCTTTATAACGAGAGATCTTAGAATGCTTAAATCCAAGCTCGAAGGCTCTGTGGTTTTGGAAAATGCTACGATATTGCTGAGAGAAGGAAATGAGGTTGAAATGCCAGAGCCTCGCGACACGCTGACCACGACGGCGACCCGAAGGTGCTGCTGACTTGCTGGTCACATGATAATGCGCTTAGCTCCTTCTGGTATGTGGGGCTCGGAATCTTCTAGCGAGTGTGGAGGGGAAGCCGATTTTGTAAGCGACTGTACTCCATATTGTAGTACACTAAGTCGTAGTGCTTCAACTGCTACTACTCCACGTTGTAGTGCTGCAAACAGACGTGCTCGACCACAGCCTCAAGGGGTCGAAATCGAACCCTTTCCATAAATAGCTTCTAGTTGAAACCCAGCAAAACAGTTTATACTATAAATGTTGCAAAGAGTGTGGCGACTAGGTAATGTAACTTGAAAATAGAATTGGAATTTTACATCAAATTTAAGTGGGCAATTGATAATGAAAAATAAATAAATTGTTGGCTGCACATCACGTGTCTCATGACTACTGGGAAGATGTTCCTAGGAGACTGTAGCTCCTGAGAGAACACAGCTCCCAGGAGAATGTTCCTAGGAGATCATAGCTCCTGGGAGAATACAGCCAGGAGATCGGGATCATTCTATTGGCTGAAAGATTTTGGGTGGGTTACCAGAATCCCTTGAGCCCCAAAACCCTTGGTCTCAAAGTCCTTGGCTGCAGCTACCTGCTACAATCCCCTTGGCTACAATCCCCTCGGTCCCAAAGTACCTGGCCAAGAATTTTTTTGTCTTAGTACCCGTGCTCTCCGAGGAGACACGTGATGTGCAGCCAAAATTTTTTTTTTCATTATCAATTGCCCACTTAAATTTGAGGTAAAATCTTTACCCAGTCGCCACACGCTTTGTATTAATAGATTTCTACCAGCAGAACGAGGACCATCACGAATCACTTGACCGCAAGCCTTCCCGTCACATGACCACTGAGATTACCAATGACGAGAAAGCAAGCGAAAACCCAAGTTCGAATTTTCAACATTTAACCTTGCACATACATTCTAAAAGATGGCGAAAAACAAATAACTACGTTATATAAAGTAATACAGTGCTAGTGCCAATCCGTACCTGATACCCCTAACAGGGAGAAAACGAATAGAGAGGGCAAGATCTAGACTGCTTAGCCATGCCACTGCGGGAAAACTGTTCGCCTTTCCTAAGGTTGCTGGTAGAATTTTATCAGTACCTAGAATTTTCAATAAAACCGTAACCGTGAAACAGTGACAGCGTGAATGGTCGATTCACGTCTTTCCAGAATGCGGGAGAATGTACCGTGTGCTAGAAGAATTCTAGCACGAATAATCTACCAGTAACAGCGTGAAGTGTCGATTCAAGACTTTCCAGAACGCGGAGAAATGTATCGTGCTAAGAGAATTCTACTCAATTTGCGCATACAGCAGGCAAAGAAAGGAAAAGATATTGAGAATGGACCCGTCAAAAGTCACCCTCATTGCGCAAATAAGATTCAGATAAATAGTGTATACAAACAAAGACGATAAATAATGTGGTGTTTCCAACGATGGTTGCGAAGGCGCACACTTGCTCAAGAACAGGAAGTTTCAAAAGAGGAGATGATGCACGAAGATATTATAGAACATTTTAAATACCTTAGACGTGGATACGGTGTTTGTTGTTTGCCCTCGTGCTGCACATGGATGGCACGGTAAGGAAAAGGCTACTTGGATGTATACCTATACGAAGATTGCGGCATAAAGTGACGGGATTACAGGGCATTTACGCTCGCGTAGGGGTCTTAGCGGACTCCAGGGTGCGGTTTAAGGGACTACACCCGCTATAAGCATTGTAACTCCAGGCCCGAACCCCGAAAACAAGGGCTGTGAGACATTTGCAAGGGGTTTGAAGATCTTCAGGGATTATGGTATTGCTGGCGGAGCAACTATAGCGCTCGGACGCTGTGAGAGAGCTATTATAGGACCCTTTAGCGACTCTGCCCCTGTAAGCACAGGGGACATGCCTTCTAAAGGTGTGGTACCCCTTGTTTATAGTTTATAGCGTGCTTACAGGAGAGTAGCCTGGAAATATAGGGGGCTTCAGTGGGTGAGTGTGGTAGAAAGTGGCCTGAAAATGGACTTGCAGTACGAAGGCCCTGTAATCCCGTTACTTTATGCCGCAATCTTCGTAATTATACTGGGCAATTAAGAACAAATGCAAAATTTGGCAACCCCTCTGGAAATATATTCTATCGCCGTCGCTGAAGCATGATTTATGTGATCAATCTCTCAGCCGGACCGCGTGAAACGGTTCCGTGAAACCTTTCTGCGTGAACCAGTAACTGTACTCGGTCCTCCAGCCTGACGTTGTGAGTCTGACAGTCAATATGTGCCCCTCTTTGTAACTTGCTCACATGCTTCCTCAGAAAGTGCCTGCTTAAGGAGCCTGGGGTCGCGAAAGAGGCAATCCTCTCGTGCAATGTCAACGCGGGATTCCCAAGACAGATCCAACATGTGGTCGGCCTCTTTTGTCCCTCAATAGATCTTATTGCTTTGCTTAGAGCTTCAGGCTCTTCGCCTTGGGTGACTATAAGACTATTATCCTTTACCGGACGTCCAAGCTAAATGTGACGGGGAGGAGGCCTTTCCTCTACGCCATAATACGCTATTATGGCGCTAATTACCGCGATTCTCCGTTGAGTCTCGTTCTCGAGGGTCGTCTCCGGAAGTATTAAGATAGCGTCTATTAAAAGGAGGTATTCCGGTATTAACTAATCTAATTACTCTAATACGTCTCGCATATTCTTATTAACTATCTTCCCAGATAACTGCCGCTTGCTATTAATTACTGGCTACTCCTTCTTGAAATAGTCTATAAGGTTAACTAAGAGAAGCCTCCGCTACTACTACTTCTCGCTCTAAAGGCAATAATGAATCTTCTAGTATTTTTCTTCTTTTTTTAAATCTCGTAGGGCCCCTAATAGTTTTGCTATGTAATAGTATAATTTAATAATACTTGGATAGTAATTAATGAATAAAGATTACTCTATAATTAATTTCCGTGGCTAATAGAGATTAATTGAGTGGCTTATTAAGTATGTAAATCTTATTAGGTCCCGCTAAGACACTTGGCCATAATAGATATTCTGGATATTAATATTAATATTCTAATTAAGGTAGTATTTAAGAAATGTATTAATACTAGAATATTAAAGAATAAGATTCTAAAGCGAATTACTAATATTAGCTATATAAAAAAAAATTGAGATTAGTTAATAGCCCGTAAGGTTTAAAGATTAATACTTATGGCTTTTATTTAGTACCTTGGCTACTTTATTATAGAGGATATATAGCTTTATTACCTATATAAATCTTATAATCTGGCTACCTATCTTTACCTAATAGTAAACTAAATTAGAGAATAATTATAATTACTATATAAGAGAAATACTATAAGTAGTCTCTATAACTTGGCAAAGTATAAAATTATTATTTAACTTGTCCTTGAGTAGGAGCTATTACTTATTTATACTATTAAGAATATTTAAACTATATAGTTTTTCTAGGGAAATAATACTAGAAGATTTAAATACTCGAATTTTAAAAAGTATACCGAGTATAAAGATATAAGGGCTAAGTACGAGTATTAGGTTATAGATAATCTCTGGGATCTTAAACTTATTACTAGAGACTATTTAGTTTATATCTAGAAAGGAAAAATAGAGAAATATATATATTCTTTATACCGAGAAATTCCTTAGTAAACTTAGCTATTAGCTTAATAAAGAGTTATAAATAGGGGCTATTATAATCCCGGATTAGAGTTAATTTGAGGTATTAGTATTAAAGTTAGATAAGAGCCTCTAGGTAATTACTAGTAATACCCGTAAGCTAATAAAAGAGGATTAATTAGATCCGAAGGGAGCAAGCTAGCTAAGCTTAAATAATATCTCTCGTATAGCTAATAATATATAGATATATTTGGCCGGATCCTTAATATATATTATAGTACTTTCCTGCTTTATATTATTAAGTATTTTCTCTTTAGTAATAGCCTTAAAAACCTGAGATCTATTAGTATATAACCTTACTTTAAAAGGCTTTACTAAAAGTTATAGGATATCTTATATCTTGATCTTATACTTGAATTATACTATTAATCTTCTTACTAATCTCGAGCCCATATACTATAAGGTACTATTTCCAGAATATCTCTAGTAAGCTTATATGCTTAATTCCGGGCCGCCTCTGTCCTTCTTTCCCTTATTATTAGTTATATATCTAGTATAGGAAGCTATAGAGAAAGTTGGCCGAGACTTCCTAGAAATATAGGGCCGGATCCTGTCTAATAAAAATATAATACCTAGAAATAAAGAAATATTAGTAGAGTTTTCCTATATTATTAATTAGATTTGACTTACTAATTATAATAGTTCTTGACCTAGTCAAGACGACTTTATATCTTGGGGCTATAATGCTTCTGCCGGAACCGTCCTATATCGAGATTGGCTACTATAGTAAGGTAATATTTAGGCGGGTATTATACCTTATTATTAAAGAGATT